ATTAACTATGGTATATTCCTACAGTGATATTAAAAAATACCCATGATTGGGACTTCCCTGGTTGTCCAGTGGTTAAGAATCCGCCTTCCAATGCAGGGGATGTGGGTGCCACCCCTGTTTGGGAACTAAGATCCCACATGCGGCGGAGCAACTAAGCCTGCACGAGAAGCCCATGTGCCGCAACGAAGAGCCCGTGCGCTGTAACAAAGACTCAGCGCAGCTAAAATTAAAAGACAACAAAAAAAGAAATCCATGACTTTTGGTAAGAAAAGCACAGTGCAGACCAAGTAGAGCATGATTCATTTTGCTGAAAGAAAAGGTAATATTGAGAAGAAAAAGTTTTCCTTGCTCCTCTTCAGGTCCTTGGCTGGATCTGAAGATTAAACTGACAAAAACAATTAACAGGAGAAAAGCATACAATGTTTTTAAAAAATAAATTTATTTATTTATTTTTATTTGGCTGCTTTGGGTCTTCGTTGCTGCGAGTGGGCTTTCTCTAGTTGTGGTGAGCGGGGGCTACTCTTCGTTGCGTTGCTCAGGCCTCTCATTGTGGTGGCTTCTCTTGTTGTGGAGCATGGGCTCTAGGTGTGCGAGCTTCAGTAGTTGTGGCACAAGGGCTCACTAGTTGTGGCTCGCGGGCTCTAGAGTGCAGCCTCAGTAGTTGTGGCGCACAGGCTTAGTTGCTCTGCGGCATGTGGGATCTTCCCAGGCTAGGGCTCGAACCCGTGTCCCCTGCATTGGCAGGCGGATTCTTAACCACTGCGTCACCAGGGAAGTCCCTACAAATTTATTTAATGTAAGTTTTTACGTGACATGGGAGCCTTCATAAGGAAATGAAGACCAAAAGAAACAGTTAAGCCTGAGTATTTTTATGCTAGGTTAAAGGGTAGTAATCTGGGGGGGAATTTAGCAAGACTTGCTCTTTAGAATTCTTCTCAGAGTCTCCTTGTCCTTGGAGATGATGCTCCCTTCCTCTCGGTATACTAAGGGCAGCTCTCACTTGAGAGTTTTATGACCTGTTTCACGGGGTGTGTGTGTGTGTCGGGCATTGAGGGAGTGAGGAGGTCAGAATGACTTTCCTGTTTTCTCAAGCTCCTTCAGCTTAAAATACTCAATATGTGGAGGTGCCATATTTTAGGATAGCATGTCCTGAACCCCATCGCTAAGTAGCGCAGTGATGAAGAGAATGCCTCTTCTGGAGCCAAGCTGCCTGGGTTTGAATCTCAGCTCCATCATTTTCTGGCTTTGTGATTTGATTGAGGCTATTTAACTTTCTATGCCTCAGTTTCTTTGTTTATAAAATGGAGATAAAAATGGAATCTATTTAGGTTCTCAGGAAGATTAATTTTGTAAAGTGCTTAGGACTGTAGTGGGACAGTACATGTGTTTAGAAAATAAATCTCTTCATTCACTTGTTACACAAATATTCATTGAGTGTTCATGTGCTAGACATTGATTTAGGGTCATGGGATCTATCAGAGGACAAATCAGGTAAAGTCTCTGCCTCACAGAACCTACATTCTAGGAGGAGAAAGAGCAGACAAGTAAAGAAATGCATGTATGATATTCCGGGGCGGGTTTGTACTCTGAAGAAAAAACATGTTACACAGCGACGTGGTGGTGTGATCGGATTTACATTTTAAACGATTACTTGGCCTTTGTGTGGAGGATTGGGACAAAGACGGTCAAGGGAGTGAGGCGGGGGCTGGGAGGCTATTGCCGGAATCCAAGAACTCTTGGAGCAGCTTGCTAGCACTGGAGGAAGTAAAACGTATGCGGTTGCGTGAAGCATATACTTTGAATATGAGAGTCAGTGGGAGCAGCTGATGGCTGTGAATTCGGAGGACACCAGGTAGGAGATGATACTTACTTAAAGCCACAGATCTAGGTAACCTCCCCTACCGTGAGGTAGATCTAAGACCCAGGAACAAGAGAACCACATTTGCTAGCTAGCCCTGTCCTCTCAGTAATGCTCTTGCTGTAGAGCACTTTTCACTGAGATCCTGTATTATGTACCCATTTTTTTTTTGTTTTTTTAGTTCTTGATTTCACCAAAAACTTAAGCTCCTTAAGAGAAGGAACCGTGTATATTTACACGGAAAACTGGCATCGAGCGAGCATTGAACGGGAACAATCTGACCAAACTGCCTCCTCTGCTATTTTTGGGAAGGGAACCAATAAGCCTGATTGGAAATGAACACTGTTGCGCTTGATTTGTGTCGCTATATGTCGACCAAAAACGTTCAGTGCTTTTTCACGCCTTCCTTTATTTCGTCAACTTCATCACCTACTGCGAAGCCTTGGAGAGAAACCAGCAGAAAAGTAAAAGAGGCACACTTCGCAAAACGAAGTGAATAATTGGAAAGGAACTCCAACATCCGACACGAGCCTTTGTCTAAATTCCCCCGCGTAATTACAGACAAGTTGTTAAAACACAGGATCAAACATTAACTTCTCGTTTTTTTAACTCCACTATGTACCCCCACTAAAATACGCAACCTCAAAAAATAAAACAAACTCTCAAAACTGTTTCCCTCCCTGGAAATCTTCAGTAAAAGGCGAAAATTCTATACGATCTGAAGAAAAACCACAATATGGTTACTCGCTTGGAACACTCCCAGAACAACGTAACACTCAGCTCAGTTATGGTTGCTCCGCTCCTGCGCAGTTCGCGCTCCCTGCGTGGGATTTACACAGACCATAGATTTCTAATAGGCACTGTCCCCTGCAACAGTGGACAAACCCCGTTGGGGGAACTCAAGCAGCGTGAAACTGTCTTTTCGTGGTGCACCATGGGTATGCAAATCGCAGGCCGTTCCGGCAGCTGGGCGACACCAGCCGCTGGCCAGGCAGGGCGGCACCGTGGGGACCCCAGGGCTGCAGCGCTCTCTCGTCGCTGTGGGTCCTCCCGGGAGCCGGCGCTTCCTTACCCAGGCTGAGGTTAAGTCCTACCATTCGGTACCCTCAGGGACCACCCCTCCCCCCACCCGCCCCCAACCCTGTTCTAGGGACAGAAGCAGAAACGGTCAAGCACAGACACTCAGGGACTTTGGGACCATATAGGAGGCAGGTCACCACCCCTTCTGGAGGAGATGGCATCAAATTATCTGGAAGGATGGTTCGGGTTTATGGGAGGTGGAAACGTGTTCTCCGCAGAGGGAATGCCCTCTGTGAAGTTATGGGTGGGGAACATAGAAAGTAATCAGTCTGTCTGGAGTAGAGTGTGGTGTGTCTGAATGAGGGTGTGAATCCAGCCAGTCGCTGTCCTGAGAGAGCTGGGATGATGGCAGAGGCTAGATGGAGTTAGGCCTGGAAAGGGCTTGGCTTTGATCTTGTGATATCAGTGATGGGGAGCCATGAACGGGGCTGAATAGTGTGCACTGCCACGCAGGGTGGGCTGTCCTGCAAACACTGGGACTTGCCCCCAAGACTGGCTGTGGTCAGTGCCCCGGAACTGACCATTCCTGGGGTGGTCCGGCTCCAACTGGCTGGAATCCTTCAGCTGCTGCCACACCAGGACACTGGGCAATGTTTCAGGGTTATTCAGTAAGCATGCAGTTGAAGCACAGACTTTCAGCATAGCTAATATCCCACAAACTACAGAAATAGCACCTATGAGAAGCCGGGTGATGTCTTACATAAATATTTCATTTAAAATCCTGAAAGGAAAAACTAGTACCCTACAAGATAGGCTCTAATCTTCCCATTTCACAGATGAAGACGCTGAGGCTCAGAGAGGTTCTCTGACTTTTCCAGGTCACTCAGCTGGTAAGTGGCACCGATGGAGTGACATCTTTTGCACTATTCCAGCCTGGTGAGCTCTCCTGCTCTACCCAAAAGCCCCTCCAAAGTGACCCAAACACTACTGGCTCCAAATCCAGTGTCCATCCCTTGGGCATCCTGGATGCATCCCCTACTCTAGGTTCCAAGCCAACCGCCTGCTTCTCTTAAATCTTCTCAAGCATCTTAGTGTTGATTCAGCTGCAGCAGTCTTCCCCCTCCCCCGCCACCTCCCTGCCCACTTTTGGTCAGAACATGATTTTCTGGCCTTTGGCCTGGTGGGGTGGAGTGTGAGAATGCAGCACTCTGGGGGTGGGATCGTTCCTGGTGAGTGGGTGGCTGGAACCCAGGGTGTGTATGTGTGTCAGTTGAGACCGAGCCCTGGGATAATTGGAGAAGCGCAATAAAAGGCCTCCCCCACCTGGCGCATCAGATGAGACTCTGCACTCTACACCCAGGGGTGTGGCCAGAATCGTCCAGGCCTCTGTATAGTGGGCCTGTTCAACATTCACAGAACAAACAGCTTAAATACAGAGCCTCACTGGTTGCTAATGCAACCTCAATTTCAGCAGTGCCCCTACTGATCCCCTAGCTGTCTGGCCAAAGATGCCTCTGGGGCGCCAAGCTGACTGCTGACTTGCAGAGGCCTCTGCCTTGGAGGTTGGTCTGGGCACAAAACTCCTAAAATACCTCCCTGCTATTCCCATCTGTGTTTCAATCGGCCACCTTCTTCTTCTTTTTTCTTTATTTTGGCTGCATGGCTTGTGGGATCTTAGTTCCTCAACCAGGGATCTAACCCAGGCCTGGGCCAGCAATGAGAGTGCCCAAGTCTTAAGCACTGGACCGCCAGGGAATTCCCTCAGACGCTTTCTTGATCTGCTTCCACTTCTCCTCTCACCTGTTGCCTGGCTGTGTCCCTCTGCCCATCCCCCCATGCCGCTCACAAAGGAAGGTGGGTGATGAGTCTGGAGAGGTGCACAAGGCTGGCTTATGATGGCTCTGAAAGCCACACGGTGGGGTTTTTTGACATCAAAAACATTTGTATCGCTTTGTGTACTAAGCACTTCAGCCAGACCCTGTTACCATGTATATGACCAACACATTGGCTGAACATCATCTTCACGTGCCAGGTGAAAAAACACACCAAGGACTAGGGTAGCCCCACGACCTGCCCCGATGCCTCCACTTGCAAACTCACAGCTCTATCTGAAAACAAAGCGCCAAAGTCATTTGAGATGAGTTCATATAGAATATATTTCACTTTTAAAAATACAACTTTCAGCATAGCTAACATCTATACAAACTACAAAAATAAACGTCTCCATATAAATAATTTATGTGGTAAGAGGTGGGCAGGGATACAGAGAGCCTACCCAGAAGTCAGCAAGCAGTGGGGCACCAGGACTGGAGAAGGGTGCTAGAGGATCCCTCAGGCTTGGTCTGCTGGGGGCAGCAGGGCGGGGTGGGAGGGGGGACAGGGCTGCACTGCAGCCTGAAGTGCTTGCTGGCTTTCACCCCACCCAGTCATGGGCACAGGCATGGAGCACCCGGGTGTGCAAGGCTGCTCACAGCCTAGAGGGTGGTGGCTTAGTGTGGCTCTCAGGGAGGTCTGTGATGGCTGGGTCGGGGAGGAGATGGAGGCAGACAGGAGCAGCAGCAGGGCTCTCCAGGAGTCCGCCCTGCATTCAATAACCCCCCATGGCTTCCCAGTGCCTTCATGTGGCCTGAACAGGGTCTCCACGCTTCAGCTGCTCTTTCATCAGGTGGCTGGACATGGTCCCCTAGAACTGAGGTTGCTGGAGCCACTGGCAGCTGGTGTGGCAGCAGGGGACCAAGTAGGCTCTTCAGAGGCCGGGTGGATGTAGGCACCAGGCAGTGGGGGTGGGCGGAGGGCCACGGTCATGGAGGTAGTCACTCTGGCAAAGCTCTGGGGAAGGGTGGGGGCTACCCCCCACCTGAGCCCTCCTCCTTGTGCAGCTGGTGGGCTCAGGACCTCCGGGCTCTCCTTGTACATCTGTACCACCTTGGGGGAGACACCAGCCCCAGTGAGCCCAGGGGCTACTGGGGACGCAGCCCCCTTCAGCACCTCCCTGGTTGGGAAGCTGGGGTCTTTGGTGGCTTCCAGCAGGATATGAGAGCTGACAAGGGACAGGATGTCGAGGTCTGGGGCAAACCCTGCACCTAAATGGCTAAGGTGGGTCCAATGAAGAAGTCAGGAGGGCTGAGGGGTAGGGACATGATGTCTGGGCAAAGGGGGAGGCTGCCACCTTCAGTTGGTGGTACTTATGGGGAGGGGTCCCTGTGAGTTGAGCCCTGTCTGTTGGCCGCTGAGGGCATTTTGCCCTGGCTCTGTCCCACCCCGTCCCCTGGGCTGGGAGCAGAAGGAGGGTGGTCACCTCTGGTGGGGGGCCCAGGATGGACAGCAGCACAGGCAGCAGCACAAGCCCATGGAGGAGGCCTAGGAGTGTGAGTACTGTCAGCACCACGAAGAAGTACCTGGGGGGGTGTGAGGCCGGTCAGTCTGGGCAGGTCCTGCAGCCAGTGCAGGCCAGCCCTGCCTCCTTGCCCCAAGCCCTCCCCTACCTTACAATGAAGTCAAAGTTGGAACCAGCAAGCATAAGCAGACCCAGCAATGTGGAGACGGCCCCATCGGTCACCGGGGCCAATGTGTGCTCTAGGGCCCGGGCAGCCCGGAGGTTCCGGCTACCCTGGGAGGTCAGGAAGCCCTAAGGGAATAAAGTGGTCCTGGAGCTGCTCCTTGGCCAACCACGGCCAGCTCATCTGTGTCCCCAGGGCTCACCCATGCCTTGGCCCACAGAAGGCCAGGTGAACCGAGTCCCTGGGAGCTGCCCAGGACGCAAGCACGAGTCCATATAGGTAACACTGTATAGATGAGTGAGACACAGGGATGTCTAGAATAGGCTGGCAAACTACAGTCTGTCCCACGTTTTTTTGTAAATAAAGTTTTGTTGAAACACAGCCACACCCATTCGTGCACATAGTATCTATGGATGCTTTTGGGCTACCCCGGTAGAGTTGCCACAGAGACGATATGGCCTGCCAAGCCTAAAATATTTACTATCTGGTCCTTTACAGAAAAAAGTTTGCTAACCCCTGGTCTAGAAGGATGGACACCAAAGTGATAACTTCTAGGGGTGGCATTTCAGAAGATTTCTAATTCTTTCTTGGTACTTTCCAGCATGCTGACATTTTTTGTCTCCCAAGGAGTATATATTATTCTTATAAGCGGAAAAATAATAAGGCTTTTATGGGGGAAGAAAGAAGGGAGCTGTTTGCGGGGTCTGGCCAGGTCTGTGCCGGAGCTGCCAGCTGGTCCACGCCCCCCACCCCACCCACACTCCTCCCCTGCCAGAGACCATGAGGCTGTGAGAGAGGCCTGCCTGCCTCTGTTCTAATCTCTCTGTCTTGGTGGGATCTTGCCATCCAGCTACCACCCCATTTCTCTGATCCTCTTCACTGTAAATCCATCCAAAAGAATTGTTGGTTCTCCTTTTCTCACCTTCCATTCTGTCCTCCCCCCTTTCTGGTCAGGCCTTTGTCCCTCCTCTCTACTGAAATGGCTGCTTATTTATTTGTTTGTTTACATGTTTATTGCTTATCTCTATGCTCTTTGAGGGTAAAGCCTGTCTGTACTGCTCTTATCTCCTCAGTTCTTAAATAGCACCTAGCACACAGTAGGTGCTTGATCAATATTTGTTGAATACCAAATCAGCTGGCCCACCCCTCCCCTAGTGCCTGTGCTCACCAGAGCCACATGGACCGTGAACTCGACACCAATGCCTACAGACGCCACAAGGATCACCACGGGGATGGCGCTCAGCTTGATGCCCAGGAAACCCATGATGCCAAAGAGCTCCACGGTCATCACTGCCAGGACCAGTACCTGGGGAGGGCAGGGCTCACCCAGGGCTCCTGGGCAGGGCAGGGTGGGGAGCTATGGGTCTCTCCAGCCCCACCCCTGCAAGGACTCACTATGAGGGAAGCTGCCCAGGGGTTGAGCAGCAGCAGGGCGCAGACGAGGAAAGTGCACACCAGCAGGATGCAGACTGCCAGCAGGAAGCAGCGCCGCAGGCCCAGATACTGCTCCCAGAAGAGGAAGGGGGAGCCGCTGGGGTAGGCGCGCACCCCAGCCTGGCCTGCCTCGGCACACGCTGCCCGGGCCCCCTCAATGGTCTCCACGAAGTCTGCAGTCTTCTGGAGTCCGTGCAGTAGAAAGGGGAACTGGGCAAACTCCAGGGGCTGGGCCGCCGGGACTGTGGAGGGGAGGGGACGGAGGGAGAGGGAGGGGTGGCCAGTAAGCACCGGGAGCAGTGGGCAGGGCCTTAGGGTAGGGCCCGTGTGGGCCCAGGCCTAGGCTCTGAGGGCTTCCCTGGGACTCACTGCGAAGGTTCTCCCCGGTGGTGTCGTACTTGTCATGCAGCCACTCGGGAGGTGGGGGGTAGAAGTTGGCTTGTGAGGCTGCCAGACCCAGAGGGTCACTGCTCACCCACACGGTCAGCCCCACGTAGAAGAGCTCAGGTGGAATCAGCCCGTCCTTGTCCACCAGCTTCCTTGTGGTCAGCTGCAGAGGCAGAGAGAGCTGAAGGCTGGGCCCATGGGGCCTGGAGCCCCAGGGTGCTCCCTGACCCTTCCAGTCCTCTCCTAACCTGGCTGAAATCAAGAGGCTCCTGGGCATTCCCGGTCTGGATGAGCAGCTTGTAGGCTAGGGCCCCATCCTCAGAGCCATTGCGGTATGAGTGGTGGGTGATGCGCCCAGAAGCCCAGTCCTGGTCAAACGCAGCCTGGATTCCTGGGAGAAAACAGGGTGGGGTCCGGTTGGCCTGGAGCTCTGGGAGCTCCTGCTGGCCGCAGCCCTCCCTGCCGGTCTCCTTGCCTCTCACCCTGTAGCCAGTTGCGGTAATAGTGCAGCCAGGTGCGGGGTGCCTGCGTGGCCGGTGGGGGCAGCACTGCCTTGAGGGAACTGAAGCGCTGGTGCAGATCAAAGAGGGCGCGTTGGGAGTGGGCGTAGTCAAAGCCACCCTGGGTCACCAGGGCCACCTCGTACAGAGAGAAGTACCTGAGCTGGGCGCTCAGGAAGGCATGCTCCTTGGTGCCCCGCGGCACCACATCTGTCAGGGCCAGCCCATCCTGCACCAAGGTCGATCCATAGAGGCTCAGGCCCAGAAGAGCCCCAAAAAGTACCAGCACCATGGCCTGTGGGAAACGGCAACTAAGTTGGGGGCCCAGGGATACCCTTGGGCCCTCAGATGCTGGGCTAAGCCCTCGTCCCTTCTTGGGGCCCAGAGATACCTAAGAAGCCTCTGCTGTGTCTCACCTTGACCTGCCTGGGCCTGGAGGCTTACCTTGGTGTGGGACTGGAGCAGCAAGGGTGCAAACTGAGAGCGGGCGAAATGGGCAAGATTCCAGCGGGCGCAGGGCAGGGACTTGCAGGCTGCCTTCTGCCTTGTCCCCTCCTCCTGGCCTAGAAGGTCCCGTGTTGACCCTCCTGGGCTGAAGAGCTCAGAGGCCAGTGGGTCAGAAGGTGGGGGCACCAGGTGGGCTTGGGGAGGCAGGATGGTGACCACATGCTGGCTGCTGGCTTCACAGTGCGCAAATGCCTGAACAGTGGCAGTCAGGTGAGCAATGCCCACTGGTACTGTCCTATCCCCCAGCTCCTGGGGCAGAATCTGAATCACCCGAGCAGAGCAGGGGCTGGAAGAGGCAGAGAGAGAGGGTGATGGGTCTGTGCCTGGAAATGCTGCTGAAGGGACAGGACGGGATGGGGCCAAGGAAGGATGGTCTGGTGGGTTAGGGATACCTAGAGAAGCAGCAGAGCACATCGAGGCGCTGGCAGTGGCGCCGGTGCAGGTCCAGGCTGAGGACCGCTGGGAAGACAAGCATCACGGCTGCAAAGTTGCAGCCAACCACTACTGCTGCCTGCGGGATGGACAGGAGGGGCACAAAGCCTGGATGAAGCCTGCTCCGGCTCCATGCTCACCCTGAGCCCGGGCCCCGTCTGTGAGGCCTCACCTGCAAGGAGAAGGCCCGCAGTGCAGGGATGGGAACTAGGGCAGCCATGAAGAAGGCGACCATGTTGTTGATGGACGTGAGTGCAACGCTGGTGCCTGTGCGCTGCAGACACTCACCTGTGCGCTCCTGTCAGGACAAGGCAGCGTGAAGGACGGCAGAGGGGGGGGAAAGGAGCCTCATAGCAGTTAATATTTATCGTACTGTTCTAAGTACTCAACTTGAATTACCTCACCGATCCTCACTACAACCCTTACGACACAAGCACTATCATTACCCCTGTTTACGGATGAGGAAACGAGGCACAGAGAGGTTAATTACCAGCCCAAGGTCACTCAAACCAAGAGGCTCTGAGCCCCTATGCAGCACTGCCTCAGATGAGCCCAGGCTGGAGGACGAGGCCTCACCTGGAGAGGGGTGCCAGGTGGAGCCTCTGTGAAGGCATGTGCCAGCAGGAATATGTCATCCACGCCAATGCCCAGTGCCAAGAAGGGCAGCACCTGGAGGGGCACGGGGTGGGCAGCTGGAGGAACCGGGCAGCCTGGGCCATCGGCCCCCAAGGCTGCCCCGCAGTCTTGATGTACCTGGGTAGTGGCGGCATTGAAGGCGATGCCGAGCAGGGCGCAGAGCCCGAGGCCCGAGGCCACCGCTAGGGCCACCAGCAGCACCCCGGCGAGGCCCACAGCACCCTGGGACTGAGCACAGTCCCACCGCAGCATTGTCACGCAGGCGTAGGCCAGCTGTGGGGAGAGAGGGCAGTCTTGGATAGGGCCTCCCAGGGTGGGGGCCGGTGGTGGGGGACAAGGTGCCAGGAGGACCCACCATGAGCAGGTAGCCTCCCACCACGCGGGCAGCGCTGACTTCAGAGAAGGCGTGCAGGATGTCATCCAGGGTGGTGGAGGAGAAGGCGTGGATCTGCTGGGACGCGTTCCCAGGCAGGGCCTCCTGCGCCAGCTGGAGAGACAGGGCGGTGTGAGGGGCAGGAGGTGGCAGCGGCCTCAGGGCGCCGCGCTCGCCACCTCCACGCCTCCACGCCGACCTGCACGAAGCGCCGCTGCCAGGCCTGCAGCACCGTGCCGGCCTGCTCCTCGCTCCAGCCGATGTCGTGTGTCTGGTAGTCGCCCCGGAAGTGCTCGTAGAGCTGGCGGGGACTCATCAGCAGGAAGGTGCTCTGCAGGGCCTCTGCCCTGGTTGGGGTATAGGAGAAGTAGGGGTCAGAGCTGGTCTGAACACTCAGGAGGGGGTGTGCAAGGGGCTTTTGCCAGAGTTGCCTGGCATCAGGGTGTGGCTCCCCATACCTGGGGTGCCCTTACCAACTCCCAGGGGAGGCCCTACCTCAGCAGCTGTCCTTGGGGGTCTCTGGCCATGCCTCCCAGCAGAAGTTCCTCCTGCCAGTGCATGAACTTGTGGGAGAAGCCATGGCAGCCCCCGCTCAACTCCTGAGCCACATTGGGAGCCTGGAGGGGGACAGCGGAGGGGCTCATTACTCAAGGCCCTGGTTTTGGATAACTGGGTGTCTCTGGGCTGGAACCTCCAGGAACCATGCTTGCCACGGAGCTCTGTGGACCTGGAGTGCAGAAAACTGTTCTGCTGAGCCTCTTGCCTACTCTGTAAGGGAGCAGCTAGTGTCCTGCAGAGAGGAGGCCACAAGAGGGAGCAGAGGCCTAGAGACAGGCTGCGGAGAGGAGCTGGCATAACTTTGGTGGTTTTGGAAAAAGGTGCACGTACACAGGGCCACAGAGACACTCAGGAAATTAGGTATGATACTCGTGCTTAGCTAATTTGTCCTGTTTCCCTGTAAACGTGTATTTTGATGAAGTCCAGCCTTTCTGGGCTTAGAAAAGGACAAAGGGATTCATAGGCCACTTGAGGGTTCTTTAGCAGAGCTGAATAGGAATGGAACCCTCTAGGTGTCTAGCACAGTGGGGCCAGGGTAACAACGTCCAGGAAATGGGGGGCAGAGCACAGAGCAGTCTGCTCTCTCCTAGAACAGGGGAACATATGAGGGGAAAGGGAAGGAAAATAACCTGTCCCTGGCAGACCTGGCTGGAACCCACCTGCCTGCTGTGATGGTTAGGGGCACTAGAAGGGCAGTGGAGGTCGTCAGGGTGCAGACAGGGCCGCCCCACGTAGGCCTGGCCCACCTGTGCCTTGTCTAGCAGCTCCCGGAAGCTCTCAAGGGAGGCAAAGGGGCCCAGCTCCTCCAGCAGCTGCTCTGGATCCAGGTTGGTCCACTGGATGTCGGGGCGGCCCCTGCAGGGGAGAGCTCACAGTTGGTGAGGATCAAGGATCAATGCCCACCCTCCAAACCACTGCGATGGGACCCATGTAGTAGCCCACCCTCCTCCTAGCTGCTCATCTGTCCCTCTGTGTGGAGGGTGGGCAAGGCTCAGTCCAGCAGGCTGCTGCAGTGAGCTGTGGACAGATACCAGGGCTGAGATGGACCTCAAGACAGATGGTACTTAACACAATGAAAAGGCCCAGAAAAGCCCCACTGCATTCCTTCCCAAACCGTCTATCCTTGGATCTAATACATAACCATACAGTCACCTGCTTATAACAGGTCTTCTTTCTGGCCTGGGTCACAGCTGAGCTGACACCTAGTTAAGTCTCCCTGGCAAAGTCTTTCTGGGGATCTTTTCCGTCCTAGAGCCCTGAGGCTGCCGGTGAGCTGACCCTGGCCTGGGAGGTAATTAGGCCCTGGGTGAGCTTTTGATCATCATCTTTACTCCCACCCTCCTTTCTGCTGGGGAGTTCCTGGCAGGGGATGAAGCAGGGCCCTGGGAGCAGCTGTGGCAGCACTCACGGCAAGTAGGCAGAGCCCCCTTGGAGTTTGGCTCCTTCCCAGAAGCAGTCGAGGGGGGTGAGGATCACGCAGGGAAACAGCTTCTCAATCATCTGCCAGGGACATCCCAGGCCATATCAGTCCTGTCCCTGGGCTCTTTTCTCCATGACCTTTGTAGGATGCCCTCTGCAATGCCCCCACCTCCCGACGCCACCTCCCCCTTCCCCGTCTCTCCAAGCCCTCCCTTACTGCGGAAAAGGCTCCACCTCTACCTAGTCTCAGAGAACAGCTCAGGATACTCACCCGCTCAATCATTCCATTTTCAATTAGGGGAACTCCTGACTTGTAGCAGATTTTGTTCAAATCCCAGGACCTGCAATAGCCAGGGGCACAGGACATCAGCAGAAGAGGGGGATTCCCGCTCCAGCCCTGCTGCAGCACCTCTCACCCCCAGCTGCTCAGGGGCTCAGCCAGACTCACTTTCCATAGAGTGATACTTGCACTTTACTGGCGGTGAGGGCTGCCTGGAGGTGGAGGCCAAGTGCCTCAGGTGTGAGGACGTTCTCCCCCTCCTGGCGCGGGGTCTGTATCAACATCTGGGAGGTGTACGCAGCCTCCTCCCCCAGCTTCTCCTTGGTGTATTGCAGCTCTTGGCTCACCCGGCTGCCCGCTGCCAGAGCAGAGAGAGAAAGCTGGGGGGAAAGAGCCTCAGTGGATCAGAGCTCTGGGGGACATGGGACCCTAACCCACAGAGGCCTCCCAGGACAAGTGGGGGAAGCTTCTCCCTGATGGCCATGCTGACCCCCAGGCTCCCGGCCCTCTGCTTGGAATCTGGAGTGCAGAGGTCCAGCTGTGTGGCTCTGTGGAATTCTTGTGGGACCTAAGGTTTAAGCATGAACCCGGCTGGCTGGGTTTGGAGCAAATAACTTTAAAACGAGAGATCAACATGAGCTGGGCCAGGGTGGGGTTCTGGGGGTGTCCTGGTAAGGGAGCCCTCACTCAGTCCCTCTCTACTCTGGTGGGGAGGAGAAGGAGGGACAGAGGGGCCAATAGGGAGGCTGCCCTTGGAGGGTCTCCTAAAAGAACAGGTCTAGCGCTGGGGCTGGTTCCTAGTTCAGGTTGTCCCAGGCAGTGGACAGACACTTTTTTGCAAACTGCTCTGCAAAGGGGTGGGGTGTGCCTGGCAATAATGGCTCTGTGGTGGCACAGGTGCAGGGGAGGGTCAGACGGTCTTTCAGTGTGATGCTGCCAACATACTGCTTCCACTCATGGAAGCACTCCTGGATCCTGGCAGAGGTGACATCAAAGCGGGCCTGGGGAAAAAGATCCCTTTCACCAGTCTCTCTGTTCAGACAACAGGGAGTCCCAGCGCCAGGCCTGCCTTCATCTCCTTGATCAAGTCCTGCATTGCACTGGCCATGGAGGCCAGCTCTGTACCTGGGATCTGGGGAGGTGGGGATGCTGTGAGGGATGCTATGACCTGACTGTGGTTTGGGGGAGGTGAGGGCCAGGGCCAAACCACCCCGGAGGCTTTGTGGACTTGGCCTGGTCTTAGACCCATAATCTTGCTTCAACCCATCTGGGGCGTCTTCCTGTAGGTCACTGCCACCCTTGGGGCCCAACGGATTGCTTCTCTGAGACTCCAGCCCCACCTGGGATTATCATGCTCCCCAATCTCTTTTCCAAACCCACACAATCCCCTCACTCATGCGAGCCCCAAACCCTTGGTAACTCCCCATCACAGATTCACCCATATGCTCACACCTCCCATCCCCACAACAGTCTCACACAGCCATCATCCTGCCTTCTCTGCTGGCAATTCCACCTACTCTTTTTCTTCCTTTCCTGACTCCCCACTCCTCTGCAGTAGGTCCGTGCTGCAGTGTTTATTTCATCAGGCTTGGGCCAGAGCTGCCACAAGGAGGGACAGGAGGGGAGGGCAGAGATAGGCTCCTCACAGTGAGTGAGTTTGCTGAGGGGAAGGAGGCATGGGAGAAAGAAGGAACCCGGACAGAGCTAATAAGAAAGCAAGAGAAAGAGACAAGCACAATTTAAAATACAGCATCAAGGGAATTCCCTGGAGGTCCAGTGGTTGAGACTCTGCACTCTCACTGCCGAGGGCATGGGTTCGATCCCTGGTCAGGGATCTAAGATCCCTGCAAGCCACGTTGCGTGGCCAAAAAAAAAAAAAAAAAAAATAAAAATACGGCATCAAAGAGAATAAGGAATCCTCAAAGAAAATGAGGAAGAGAAAAAGATAAGTCTTCGATGACAATGATGATGACAGATAGGAGGACAGATGCACTAGGATGTATTGTGAGGCAAGAAGAGATGGGGCGGGGGGGGGGGCACAAAGGCTCTGGACAGACCTGGCTTTGGGTCTTGGCTCTGATGCTTGGTCTGTGCTTGAGTAGGTTACTTAGTCTCTCTGACCCTCAATGTTCTCATCTGTGAAATGGAGAAATGCCTACCTTGGTAGAATTAGAATCAATGTGAGCAAAGTACTTAGGAAGTTGTCCAGAACACAGTAGGTACAGATATGGAGTTATTATTCAATGGCTGCTGGGAGAGAAATGATATGATGGAAAAATGAGAAAGAACTGGAGAGAAAAAGAGACTGTAAGTGAGTGGGGAAGAAGCAGGGGGAACAGGGGAAGGAGACGTCAAAATCATCACATTTGTTGAAAACTTTACAAAAGGGGCGCATATATACAATGGAGTATCACTCAGCCATAAAAAGAAATGAAATTGAGTTATTTGTAGTGAGGTGGATGGACCTAGAGTCTGTCATACAGAGTGAAGTAAGTCAGAAAGAGAAAAACAAATACCGTATGCTAACACATATATATGGGATCTAAAAAAAAAAAAATCGCTCTGAAGAACTTAGGGGAAGGATATAAAGACGCAGGAATAAAGACGCAGATGTAGAGAATGGACTTGAGGACATGGGGAGGGGGAAGGGTAAACTGGGATGAAGTGAGAGAGTGGCATGGACATATATACACTACCAAACGTAAAATAGATAGCTAGTGGGAAGCAGCCGCATAGCACAGGGAGATCAGCTCGGTGCTCTGTGACCACCTAGAGGGGGGGATAGGGAGGGTGGGAGGGAGGCGCAAGAGGGAAGAGATACGGGGACATATGTATATATATAGCTGATTCACTGTGTTATAAAGCAGAAACTAACACACCATTGTAAAGCAATTATACTCCAATAAAGATGTTAAATAAATAAATAAAAGCCACTGAACTGGGGCGGGGGGGGGGGGAAACTTTACAAAAGGGAGAATATAACCGGTTAGCCAGCATGGAAAAAGAGTCCACTTTATAGGTAATCCAATAAATGCAAATTAAAATAGCAATGAATTATCATCTTTCAAATTAGCAAAAATTTAAGAATTGGTAGTACTCATTGCTGGCTTACAGGAATGCATTCTAACTTACCTACTGCAGGAGTTTAATTTGGTACAATATTTGGGGGAAAGCAATACTGCAGTATGTTTTAGGATCCTCAGAAATGTTCATAATCTTTGGTCCAGAAATTTCACATGTGAGGACCTGGAAGCTATTGTAGGGACTCAAGCTGTCTCTGTGTGGAATGGGAGCCATGTTATGTTTTAAGAAGAGAAGTGAGATGACCTGGCTTCTTCATCACCTGATATATTCTGGAGCTGAGCTGTGAATGATGCACAGGAGTTGGCCAGGGAAAGAAATCAGGGAAAGGGGTTCTGGACCAAGTGTGTGCAGGTAACTGTAAGAGGCTCTGTGTTGCTGGGCTGCTAAGAGTGAGGCAGAGACAAAACTGGATAAGCAGCCTAGAGTATGCTAAGGAGCTTGAACTTGGTTTTGGAGACTCCCCGAAACCCAGTAGAGAGTGGTGGAAGGGCTCTAAGCAGGGACTGACTTGGCCAGATTTAGAAGCACCACAGGAGGGCAGTGCGGAGGCAGATTTGAAGGTGAGGGGGAAAGATGAGTCACTTAATAGACCTCGATTTCCTGGGCCATCCTCTGAAAGGCCTAATGATTCAGGGCAGCTGGGCCCTTCCCCAGCCTTAGGAGGTGAAACTTGATTAGTCTAATAAGTCAATCACAGTAATTCCACCGTCTTTGCCAAGTGAAGGATTTAGGCATAAGATGCTACACAGTTCTTGCCAAAGTATATAACCAAATGGGAAGTCAGTGGGGGTGGATGGTGGGGAGGGGTAGGTGGTGTATTTTTCCTCACTTTCAAAAAGGGATGCAAGACAGGGATGACTTCCCTTTTCTACCACTGCAGCAGCCACCTTGGGAGAAGGAGGTGATAAGCCTGAGGACAAAAGCCCAACATGCAGAAGGCAGAGGAGAAAGATAGAAGGAAACTGGGTCCTTGCTGATGTCCTTAGATTGCTGAATTATCCGTGCTGGAACTTCTCTACTGTCTACTGCTAGACTCCTTGTTGGGGGGGATAATAAATCAGCCTTCTTCTTCCTTCCTCCCTCTTTCCCTTTCTCTCTCTTTCATGTGGCTAAAAGCATGCTAAATGATACAATCAGGAGTGTACTGCCAGGCCTCAACTAGAGCAACAGCTGCAAGTGTGGAAAGGAGGGATCTGAGAGAGACTGAGAAGGAAGAATTTTAATTGTTTAGTGACCAATCAGGTGAGCAAGAAGAACTGAGGCTGACCCTCAAGGTTTCAGCCTTGGGTGTCTGAGTGAATAGTGGTTCCACCAATTGATATGTGGCTGTCCCCTGCCTTCCAGACAGAAGGGCTGTATGTTCCTTATCTTCAGGGACAGCTCCAGTTTCAAACCATCTCTATCACTGTTCCTGTAAGTACTAATTGGGCTACATGTTGTGATTTTCCTTTTCTTTTCTTTCCTTCCTTCCTTTCTTTCTTCTGTTTTTTGTCCACACCACCTGGCTTGCGGGATCTTAGTTTGCCGACCAGGGATCAAACCCGGGCCCTCGGCAGTGAGAACACAGAGTCCTAACCACTGGACCACCAGGGGATTCCCTGTGATTTTTATTTTAGAGAATTTATCTGAGTCTTTCAGCTTTAATATTGATCAGGAAGGAGAAGTCACATTCCAAATCTCACCACGGCAAAGCTGGAGAGTCCAGAACTCTGATAGCTAATGTCTAGCTTCTTTCTTTGCTTTCTGCATTAACAAAACAGGAAAGGAATGGAAAATACCCTTCAGTCTTCACTGCCTAGGGCATTGTTGGAAGAAGCCTCAATGACAGATGTACAGAGAAAAGATCAGGTCAAGATAACTGCTTTCACCTCACCCGTAGCCCCAGCTAATACAGGGCAGAGTGATATTCTTTTTTGTTTTTAAGTAATGTCTTTTTTTAAAAAATAAATTTATTTATTTTTATTTTTGGCTGCATTGGGTCTTTGTTGCTGTGCACAGGCTTTCTCTAGTTGCGCTGAGCGGGGGCTACTCTTCGTTATGGTGTGCGCACTTCTCATAGCAGTGGCTTCTCTTGTTGCAGAGCACGGGCTCTAGGGCTTCAGTAGTTGTGGCTCGCGGGCCCTAGAGCACAGGCTCGGTAGTTGTGGTGCACGGGCCTTGTTGCTCCGCGGCATGTGGGATCCTCCCAGACCAGGGCTTGAACCCGTGTCTCCTGCGTTGGCAGGCGGATTCTTAACCACTGCGCCACCAGGGAAGTCCCAGAGTGACATTCTGACATAAAGAGAAAAGACCTAGGAATTGATTACCACCCTCTTATATCACCCTCGCACAAGGAGCAGCAAAAATCCAGTGGGATCTAGCCTATCCTGTGCTGGAGTGTAGGAGAAAGGATGAGGAAACATGGAGGTTCAAGCAGTGTTTAGATTGGGAAGATCTGGGGAATGGAGAAGGAAGAAGAGGTGGGAGACAGCCTCTACTGTGGCAGGAAATCCAAGAGTCATTTGGGACCACCCAGGCAGCAGCAGTGTGGGTGGGGCTATGTGCATGTGCGTGTGCGCACGTTTGTCTTGGGGCTGGGGGCAGGCAGGCACAGAGAAACATCTGCTCTGGACCCCAGGGCTGACCTAGAGTGTGTATATATGTGAGGGTCTGCAGAGGGCTGGGGGGTTGGGTGGGGATGGGGTGTGGGAGCCCAATAGGCAGGCAGGCTCCAAGAAACATCTGCTCTGGATCCTAGGGCTTGCTAGCATTTAAAACAACTCAAGGGGGGCTTCCCTGGTGGCGCAGTGGTTAAGAGTACGCCTGCCGATGCAGGGGACACGGGTTCGTGCCCCGGTCCGGGAAGATCCCACATGCCGCGGAGCGGCTGGGCCTGCGAGCCACAACTACTGAAGCCCGCGCCCCTAGAGCCCGTGCTCCACAACAAGAGAAGCCACGGCAATGAGAAGCCCGTGCACCGCAACGAAGAGTAGCCCCCATTCGTCACAACTAGAGAAAGCCCGCGCGCAGCAACAAAGACCCAACTCAGCCAAAAATAAATAAATAAATACATTTAAAATAAAATAAAATAAAATAAAACAACTCAAGGGTGTGAGAGTCTAACCTGGGCCCTGCCTTTGGGTGTGGGCCAGGGCTGGGGGAGGTTTGGGAGAGCCCACAAATGTAAATTTCCCAGGAAAGAACAGAGGGGAGTTGGACTCTGTTAAAGGGTTGCCATACCAGGCTCCAGCAAAAGAGAGTTATGTCAAAACTATTAATAAGAAATGATTTTACTCTAATGCTGCCATTAGGAAGTGAAGATCTGGTTCCATTTGACTCTGCTGTTGCCTCAAAGTACAGATTCTGTGCCACTTTCCCACTAAATGGTTGCAGGGGACCTCGGTGTATGGGACCTCTCCCTGGAGGCCTGCCAGATGATTTACTGTTTCCCCAGCCTTCTAGTTCTAACTTTTCTGATTCTCCTAGTTAGATGAGATCTCTCCCTGCCTTCTTTTATACAACATTATCATTTTCTGCTTTGTATTATATTGTATATTATACCCCAGCATATATTTTACTTTCCTTGCTACTGAAAGATGGGTCTTGTTTTAGTTGCCTTTACAAGCACTGCAGTGCAGTCAAATACATATTAAAGATTGCCAGTAAATGCTAAATAAACACACACGCACTCACAGATAACTGTTCCATGTACCCATTCACAGGGTTCCACCATCTGCAGATGTCCATTTATGGATGTGAGAGGGAGCAGGGCTCCCAGACGCCCAGGCTCTGGAAGGCAGGTGCCCCCTCCAGACCCAGCGCAAAGCCCACTAGAACTCAGTAGCCAGCTCCTCACCCTGTTCTCACCATACCCAAGCAGCTATGGCCAGTGTCCACAACTCACCTTCCACCCAGAGCTGTTCTAGGTCTGTTTCAATGATGGCCACGCGGAGACCCAATGCTAGGGCCCCAAAGGCCAAAAGTCCCAGGAAGAGCACTTTGCCACAGTGTCTCTGGATCCCACAGCCCAGAGAGAAGAGCAGGCCCTGGAAGTAAGCACGAAGCCAGAGTGGAGCCTGAAGGCTCCCAGCTAGGATCTGGGATGGAAAGAGAAGGGTCAGCCAGGCATTACTGCAACAACACATGAAACATTTCCCTTTTCTCCTTATTACGCCCTCTACCAAGCTCTAGCTTCTTGGTTTCTGGATACAAGACAGAGGACCTAAACAGACACGGGCCCAAACTTGGAAAAAATTTGACTCCATTCCCTGCTTCCCACCCAATATACACCTGAGGAAGGCACAGATTCCTTTCTGAGATAGGATACATATACACACACCTGTTCTCAGGTGGACAGAGGTGGACATAGACACACCTACTCCCACCGGGCAGAGCAGGAGAAGACACGGACACACGACACAGCCTTCCCGGGCGAGGGCCAATAACACATGGCATTTAAGAGACATCACACCTTGCCGAGTGACAGACCTGGGGTCTCTAGACCCGGCCCCTTCTTCCGGCTTCCCCTCCACTCACCTGGGGTGCTGCAGATCGAGCTGGGGGTGTGTAGCCCGGGGGCAGCTCCCCAAGGGGTGGCGGCCGAGCCATGCTGGCGGGGATGGGGGGCCTGGGCGCCCCCAACCCGCGTTATCTGGGCGCCCCCATAGGCTGGCCTGGTCCCGCGTACCGCGAGGTCCCGCGTCGGAATTCAGTGGGGCCGCTTAGCCGCGGGTACGGGTGTACAGTGGCGTTCGTGAGCTGTAGGAGTGCAGGGCGGTGCGGGCCCGGGGCGCGGAGCCGGAGTGCCTCCCGCGTGCAGGAACAGCTACGCGACGCCCGGCGCGGCTCGAGGTGGCGACCGCTGTGCCGAGGAGGCGTCTGTAGTCCAAGAAAAAGGGAAAGGCCGGGGCTACGCCCTCTCTTTGGCTTAGTCGCCGGCAAATTACCCGGAGCTGCGCGGCCGGATCCGTTGCTAGGCAACGGCGCCGCGGGGGGCGGGGCAGGAGACCACCCAGGCAGGGCCACCCCTCTCCTCGCTTCCCCGCCCGCCCGCCTGCCCTCGGGGAGGAGGAGGGAGGGAGAACCCGGAGAGGCGATGCGTTGGCCAAATGTTAAGTCAGGAGAGACCAATGCTGAGAAAAGGTATCTGCTGGCCGACCCAACCAAGACCCAAAGACTGCTTTTCACAACTCTCTGCCTCCATTCTCTCCCACGTCAGTCCACTCTCTCCACTGAGGCCAGTCATCTCTCTAAAACGCGAATCTGATGACAGCTGCAAAACACAAAGCCCACTTGGAGCACAGGGCCCTGCAGGATCTAATCAAAGTCTTCCGTCCCATAGTTCCTTCACACCCACCCCATGTTCCTTACAGCCCTGCAGAGCCACATGTAATTTCCTAAAGCCACCATGTTATTCCATGTATTTCTGCCTTCTTACACGTGGCCCTCTTGTTTTGGCAGGCCGCCTTCAAAATGGAGCATGAGGGAATTCCCTGGCTGTCCAGTGGTTAGGACTCCACGCTTTCACTGCCGAGGGCACGGGTTCAATCCCTGGTCGGGGAACTAAGATACTGTAAGCCTCTCAGCGTGGCCTGGAAAAAAAAAAAAAAGACCCAAAACTGAACATGCATCAACCATCCGCCTTTGAAGTCTTCCTTGAGTCACACCACCCCTTCTAACGGATAATTGCTTCTTTGTGCGCCTTATAACACTCAATTTATATATTTATTATTGCACGTGATACAATTTATGTACTTGAAAGTCTGCCTCCCTCACTAGAGAGTAAGTAGGTGCTCAATAATTGTTGAGTGGGGCTTCCCTGGTGGCGCAGTGGTTGAGAGTCCGCCTGCCGATGCAAGGGACACGAGTTCTTGCCCCGGTCCGGGAAGATCCCACATGCCACGCAGAGCGGCTGTCCGGAGCCTGTGCTCCGCAATGGGAGGGGCCACAACAGTGAGAGGCCCGCGTACCGCAAAAAAAAAAATTGTTGAGTGAGTCATTTGAGAGTTGCACAAACCAGTCTTGGAAGTGACTTGGAAACAGAGACTAGTCCCTTTATTAAACTTTCATCAACTGTCTGGCCTGTGAGTCTGTTTCTGCAGGTTCCTGACTGATTAACCCTGAGTGGCAGAGGAGGGTAAAATCAATATACTAGCATGTAAAGTCTGGGAAAGAGAAAAAGAATCTCCAGTAAACTCATTACTCTAACACAACTACTATTATCTCTGGCCAATTTCTTGGTCAATTCTTCCAGACTTGTTTATGATTACATCACAAACATTTCATGTTACTACATAGTCTTTGTATCAATCATTTGGAGAATGTCCTTAGGACAGATTCCCAGAAGTCGGGGTGTTTGGTCAAAAAGTATGAACATTTTTATGGCTCCTGCTACACATTGCCAAACTGCTTTTTGAAAAGTTGTGTCAATTAACATCATCTCCCTGGAGATCTCTCCTCAGTTCTGGGGAAAGGGGAACTTTAGGCCAAGCGGGTGAACACCTAGCAGGTTTGCCACTTCCATTGGTACATTCATCCAGCAAAATGCCTTGGAGGAACTAACACATATGTGATGGTGTTGGCTAAGTAGTGACTACACAGTAAAAGCAGCATATGTGCATAGCACTTTGTTCCTCCCTGTCATAGAGAAGAGGGTCCTGTTGTGGATAAAGAAAGTGTACCCTCAGCAATTCTCTGGAAATAGAAATAGCCTCTAAACTAGGTTGTGTGGGCCCCCAGATTGCTCTTGCGGCTATAGCAAAAGATGAGTATGGCTGGGTGTCATCAGGACTGGAGGTAGAGAGGCTTTGCTGTAAGTAGTTCTTGAGGCCTCCTTCCTTCTCGCTAGATTTGCAGACATAAGGTCCATGGAGAAATAGATTGCTAACCACCTGGGCCTTGGGACTGTTTCCACAGCAGGCCCACCATTGCTAACAACTGTGGTAAAGTCTGGCACTTCTGTGGATGCTTTCAGGGCAGGGCCTGCCTGCTGAGAAAACTTCTTGCCTTGTAAAGTCCAAACACCAGGGTGGGAGAAACTGGTCTGCAGTTCCAACAATTCTAACCCAGGGCCTAGTGCCCTCTGACTGCTCTGAGCTCCAAAGTGACCTTTCTTCTCCCCAACAAAGTTGAGTTCCTAAGTACAGCTGAGCTCAGCCAGGGTGAGCTAAAGCCACAGACCCCAGGGAACAGGGAGGGAAGAAGCTGCTCTTTTCTCTCTATAAACAGCCTGCTTCAACTATGGAATAGCCTGGTTCACAGTCACTTCCACTGGACCTTGGTTATGTGTCTTGGGCCCAAACCAGAGAAATTCTCCAAGGAATAACAAAAAGAGAAAAGCAATCATTCATTATCGCCAAGGAGTAAATCTCACTACTGATTGAGACAAATATTCCTTAAGGTCTCTTACGGAGCCACCACTTTGCTAAGCTCTGGGGTTGCAGAGTACCTGATTTTTAGAAGTTCACAGCCTAAGAGGGAGCACAGAGACCACATGGGAAACCACTGTGAGCTGGAATACTCAGGGAGGTTTCCAGAAGTGAGAACATCTGGATGGGAGAGGTGGGAGGGTGACAGAATCTAAAAGGAAAAGACGGGGCTTCCCTGGTGGTGCAGTGGTTGAGCATCCGCCTGCTGATATAGGGGACACGGGTTCGTGCCCCGGTCTGGGAAGATCCCACATGCCGCGGAGCGGCTAGGCCCGTGAGCCATGGCTGCTGAGCCTGCGCGTCCGGAGCCTGTGCTCTGCAATGGGAGAGGCGACAACAGTGAGAGGCCCACATACCGCAAAATAAATAAATAAATAAAAGGAGAAGACATGGTTCAAGGTCTGGATCTTTCATTTACTGGCTATGAGATCTTGGGCAAGTCACATAATCTCTGACATTGCCCTAAGGATTAAATGAGATAATATATATAGCTGAGGAACAGTGCCAGGAAAAGTGAAGCAAACCACCACCACACACACACACACACACACACATCAGGGTAGGGTCCATGAGGGAGGAGCCAGGGCAGGCCTTCTTTCCCTGGTATTCCCCAAGCTACTCACTCACCATGCTTTGGGCTGGCTTCTGTTACCTGGGCCAGGCAAAGTCAATGACACTGAGATGTGGAGGAGGGAAGCAGATGCCCTAGCAGCCCCCTACTACCACCCATTATGTTTAGGGACCAAGCCTGGGAATGTATGCCCCTTCCCTCTAGGCAGATTTATTCCAGTAGCACCTGTCAAGTCTCTAGTGCTAGAGGCTGCAACCACAGATCAGAAAATGGCCTTTTACCTTGATGGTGAGGGAAGGAGAGAGGATAAGAATCAAGGCAGAATTTCCCCATTTATCCATGGCAGAAGAGCCCCTGATACAAGCCTTCTGGGTGGTGGCAGATGGCTCAGGCTGAAGACAGGTCATCCTGACCTCTAGTAGAATGTGTTCTCCTGCTCAGCCTCTTTATCTCCCTGTCAGCTCCATCAGAGCTGAGCTTTCTAGACCTTCTGTCTGGGTGGTCCTTCCCCACACCCCTCCCCCCCTTCCTCAGACACATTTAACTATTTAAAAAGCAGCATACCAAGACCTGGCTTATGTACCTTCTTAGGGGTAGGGATGCCTGTGGATTAAAAAAAGTCTACTCTTTGCAATTCTCTGGAAATAGGAACAGCTTCTATACTAGGCTGTGCAGACCCCTAGATCACTCTTGGGATCCAGCTGGAGTTTTCCCTGACGCTTTCCACTGCAGATGGGAGTGGGCTAGCAAAAGTAACGTGATGAAGAACTGGGAAGTTCAGCCTCTCGCCTTGGAAATAGCTTGGAGGGCAGTCTTGGCGGTCAATCCCCTTACAGGCTCAGGGAGCTCTTGCTGGCAGGTAGGGGAGATGGGTTACTGGGGGAGGGGTTCTTGCACCAGTAGCCATCAAACTGTGTCTGATCTGGCAAGCTCCCAAAACCCCAAACCCTCAACACCTCCCCAGAGTCCCCCTTGATTTGGCATTAAAGGCCCCCTTCCCCCTCTCCTCCACTTCCCTCATGCAGCATCACTGGGAGAGAGAGGCAGGGCAGATTCTATCAATTCTTTTGCCTGCCTGGCTCTTCTGGCTTCTGACCCATGGAGAGGTAGCTGGCCAGTGGACATGCAGTTGCTCACTACATTTCAAACCTCTGTAGATGCTGCCAAAAGGAAACAAAAGCTGTCCCTGCCTTCTGGCAGACAAACAGAACAAAGAGAAGAGAAATCAAAGCACCTTGGGCACTCAGCCCGTTCTGGAATTGTTCGAGACAATAACAGCAGTGTCCTGAGCTGGGGGCTGCTCCCAACTGGGACTCAGACTCAGCAAGGTCTTCCCCTGGGGGACTTTTACCTTGTCTTCTTTTTCTTTCTTTCTTTTGTAAACTCTTATTTATTTATTTTTGGCTGCATTGGGTCTTCGTTGCTGCGCGCTGGCTTTCTCTAGTTGCAGCGAGTGGGGGCCACCCTTCATTGTGGCGCACGGGCTTCTCACTGTGGTGGCTTCTCTTTGTTGTGGAGCATGGGCGCTAGGCGCGTGGGTTTCAGCAATTGTGGCACGTGGGCTCAGTAGTTGTGGCTTGTGGGCTTAGTTGCTCCACGGCATGTGGGATCTTCCCAGACCAGGGCACGAACCCGTGTCCCCT